AAGCTATGTGATTAAAATACACATTGTTATGGGATGACTTCTATTGTCCTCAAAATTCATCTATTAAAGTCCCAATGCCAGTACTTCAGTGGGGTGTCACTGTAATTACAGGGAGACTCTTGGATGAGGTAACTAAGTGGAAATGAGGTCACCGGGGTGGGATATTGTGATGTGCCTTCCAAAGTCATCAGAACAGACTCCAGGGCAGGATACAGTAAGATGGCATCTAAAAGCCACCGAGAGAACACAGAAGAAACCATCCCTGCCACATCTTGATTGTGGGCTGTTAGGCTCCAGGCTCACGAGAAAACACATTATGTTGTTTAGTCTGTGGTGCTTTGATACAGCAGTCCCCAGCAAACAATAAGAATGTGTACACATGTCTGAAATTCCTAAGTGGGGGCAGGCTTATGGAGAAAGTGGGACTCTGCTGATGCTTCTCCAAGAGGAGTTTACTGAGAGCAATGGCAATACTAGAGTCCATCAGCCCAGCCTCAAGCAAACAGACCAAGCAAGTAGTAGAATTCAGTCCCGATGCACTGATATGACATTCACAATTTGACATCAGATATGTCCAAATTTCTCTAGCTTTTCACACTCCACATTAATCTGTACAACTCAGCAAGGAGGACTAGGAGACTGACATCCTATAAAATCATACACAGAAAAGAAAGTACACTCAGAGGCCAAAGCCAACCACACCACAGTGTCACAGAGCACAAACAGCTCACACGTGGCTTCAGATGCAACTGCAGCTCACCTTTTAGAAGCTACGGTTGCTGACTTTTGTAACAAAGGATAGTCACAACTGTCTGAAGACAAAACACTCCTATATGATTTTAGTTACATATCAATTATATTATTTTCATGTGTCAAATAAAACATTGCAGAAGACTGAATGCAGAAACAGATGTTGAGAACCCAGCCACTTTAAGTCCATCAATAAAGGCTTTACAATATTATAAAACAATAATGCTGTTGACACCATTGTCTTGAAAAATACATTTTAATAAAACTATGCTACAGACACAAGTTTGCAATAAAACTCACTCTTGCTATTTTATATTTTAAATTGGATTTATAAGTACCAGGAGTGATCAAACACATGGACTCTTACTGGGCACGGTACTGTGAACCGGCGATTCCAATGCCAGCCTCACAAGGCAGGGGCATTGGGATTTCAGGACAACTTGGGCTACACAGAAAGACTCTTTCTGTGGGTGGCACACATCAATAAACTCAGAACCTCAGGCTCTGAAAGGT